TGTTTTGAACAAGGTAACGTTAGCTAGTTCCTTGTTGGACATTAGCTGTTCCCAAAACCAGCTGGTCCACCCTATAAACCGGAATGACCAACTAGTAGCTCTTTTTGGCTGGTTTACCATCCTAGACCAGCTAGAAATCAGCTACTGTGTTTTAAAACGCATCTAGTTTAAGCTGGGTTTACCAGCAGGGTAGGTTGAATTCAAACTTTGCTGATTTGGGTATCTAGACAGCTTTTTTTTAAGCATCATTAGACATATTTCAAATATTATAACATCAATGTTGCAATTGTAATTTCAATGCAGATGCATTTATACTGCCTCTGCTAACACCATAAGTTTGTCGTTTTGCCCTTTGAGTTACTGATTCTTCACTTAGTTCCGCTTCAGCAAACTGCAAAATTAATGATAAGGAAGGTGTTAAGATTACAAACCAGTGGGAGAAATTTTGCAATGCATATGTTGCTTTTTGCAGAACTAAGTAGTGCAATATTGTGACGAAAATAGTATGAATTGCGTGGCTTCACATTTGACACTTAGGTTAACTATCCTGCTCCTCACAAGACAGTCTGTCCCCTATACATTTTAAAATAAATAAATAAACAATCTTATCACCATCTTGTCAAATCTTATCTTTTTTGTTTAATATTTTAATGAAATATACTAAGGGACCAATTAGTTAGATTGCATTTATGCAGACTCCCAAAAATTATAAATGCTCATTTAAATTGTGAGAATTGTATTCTATTAATTGCCGTTTTCTTATTTCTGTTCTCTTGAAATCTAGAATCTGAAATCTGACACTGTTATTTTACAACAGACTGCCAAATACAGTAAATTAAATAAGATTTGCCTTTTTTTCTCCAAAATGCATTGCAATATTATGTCACTGCATGGCTTCACCTTAAGACACTTAAATTGATCTACTGAAACGGTCTGTATTTTTCAGGTTGTGTATTATATGTTATACATAATGAGTTCCTGGTACTTCTATTTATTTGCATTAGCAATATTGGTGTGATGCATCTGATGTTGAAATACATCAGCATACATATGCAAAATACAACTGGTCCGACTTGATGTTCAGTGGTGATAACTAGAGAGTGGGGTGACTGATACAATGCTGATTATGTATGGGAAATGAGCAAATATAGTTTATTTAAGGCTCACTTTAGTCATAAAACATATTGATGATTGTTCTGTGGTGACCCCTAAAGGGAGCAGCTAAACGAGAGAGAGGTAGACATAAAAATATCAGAAAATTGTGAATTGAGACAATTATGAGGTTCATCTCAAAATCATCTGTTTTTTGTTTTGTTTTGTTCTCCTGTACAGATGTATGCATGGGAGATCTCGGATCAGCTTCTGCAGCTGAAGCAGGACGTGGAATCGTGTTACTTCGCAGCCCAAACAATGAAGATGAAGATCCAGACATCGTTCTACGAGCTTCCCCCAGAGACCCACACCTCACTG